AGCAGCAGGAGAAACCCCAGGCTCAGCAGCTCCAGACGCAGCACCCCCAGGCTCAGCAGCTCCCAGCTCAGCACCCCCAGGCTCAGCAGCTCCCGACCCAGCACCCCCAGACCCAGCACCTCCAGGCACAGCACCCCCCGGCTCAGCACCCCCAGGCTCCGCACCCACCGCAGTAGCACCCTCAGGCCCAGCACCCCCAGTAGTAGCACCCCCAGGCTCAGCACCCCCGCGCACAGTACCCCCAGAGTCAGCACCCCCAGGCTCAGCACCCGCAGCAGCACCAGAGTCACCAGTAACCTCGACCGGGTCAACGGCGTCTACCTGGGACACACCTGAGGGGGCAGGAACCTGAGGGGGGAGGGGGTCTACCGGGGGGGGGGAACCGGCACAAGGAAGTCCGGGGGAGGGGGGAGGGAAGGAGTGCGGTAGGGGAAGAGACGGTAGAAGGGGACTGACTCGTCGAACGTGACGTCCTGGGAGGACAGAACACGACGAGAGGAGGGGTGGTAAAACTGCCACCCTGGGGCGTCAGTGGGGAAGCCAAGGAAGACACAGGGAGCAGCACGAGGGGACAGCTTGTCCGCAGACAAGTCGCGGACAAACGCCCGAGATCCCCAGACACGGAACACAGACGCATCGCCAACCTTCCCCGTCCACAGCAAGACTGGGGACATCGCAGGCCGAGAGACCCGGGGGTGAAGGTTGAGCTGATGCGCCGCGTACCTCACCGCAAACGGCCACAGAAAATGGGGGGCAGCCGCATGCATCATGGACGTACGAGCGACATCCATGACCATGCCAATGCGGCGCTCAGCAATCCCATTTTGCTGTGGTGAGTCCGGAAGCGTGAAGGTCTGGCGGATCCCCCGTGCACGACAGTAGTCTCGCAGAAGGCGAGAAGAGAACTCTCCGCCTCTGTCAGAGTGCAGACGCAGAACAGGAAAGTCCGAGCCGAAGCTCTTCCTGAGCTGGAGACGAGCCTCGCGGATCCAGTCGATCAGCACCTCAGTGACCGCACCCTTGCTGCGCAAGGGGAGGACTGTGGTGTAACGCGAGTAGTCGTCAACCACCAACAGGAAGTAGCGCTCGTAACCCTGCCCACGGACGGGGGCTGGGCCCCACACATCCATGTGAAGCGTCTGCAGGGGAGCCTCTGTCGGGGGGAAGTGGGAGGAGTGAGGAGTAGCCCGGAGGCGACCCTCGACACAGGGGACACAGGAAGGTCCTGGCCCGGAGGGGAGAGGAGGGAGAGACTGGGGAAGACCAGAGACAAGGACACGGGAAGCCATGCTCCGAAGACGGGGCAAGGAGGGGTGGCCAAGACGGTGGTGCCACAGGAGAGTCTCGTGAGACAGGAGGCGACAAGAACAGGGGGCAGACTCAGGACCTGACCGGGACGCAGCAGCAAGTACCTGACCCGACGCAGCCACCTGACCAGACGCAGGGACAGGAGGAGACTCAACGGTCAGGGTGTAGAGACTCGACCCCGGCCGACGCGAGAACGTGGCCAGGTGTCGGCCTGTGCGTGCCTCCGTGCAGTGGGTCACCCGCTGACTCGCAGGAGTGAACTGGTGAACACCCACATCCTGCAAGTCCGCTCCACTCACCAAGTTCGTAGAGAACGAGGGAAGGTACAGACCCGACAGGGTTCCCGAAGGGGCAGCCGGACACGGGAGGACAGTGGAGAAGTGAGACAGGACAGGACCCCCAGAGGGGTCAGCAAGGGAGACTGCAACAGGCCGGCCGAGCGGCGTAAGGGTAGTGCGGTCTCAAAAGAAGGAGCGAGAAGCTCCGGAGTCAAGTGTGAAAGTGAGGGAGGACGAGGACGACTCAGTACCTGAGAGCGCAGTCTCACCAGTACCTGAGAGCGCAGACGCACTGGCACCTAGAGCAGCAGCCTCACAAGCACCTAGCGCAGCAGTACCAATGCCCGGGTCGGGCTGGAGACAGCGGTAACCCTCATTCTCCTCACTATAATCCACAACATACATAGCAGTAAGGATAGCATCAAAATCAAGATCAAAGATCGCTACACCAGCCCTGAGAAGCTCATCCCAGCGAGGGATCTCACTAGCCCCAGGGAACTGCTGACGCCAGGCGTCCGTCAGGCGGCCAAAGCAGCGCTGGGTGGCGTGGGCACCCCCACACTGCTCACCCGCGCGGTCGCCGGAACGAAGAACGTAGGTGCAGGGACCAGTACCCCCACCCCTCTGACGCCCAGCGTACCACTCACGAAGCTGCTGAGGCGAAGGGATGTCCCGCGAGTGCTGCTGCTGCTGCCGGTGCGAGCGCTGGCCACCACCACCGCCGCTACGCTGCTGGGTACCACCCCGACCAGCTCCACCTCCTCCACCACCACTGCCTCCTCCGCTGCCGCCTCCACCGCCTCCACCTCCGCCGCCTCCACCTCCGCCGCTGCCTCCACCACCACCGCTGGCACCACCACCACCGTCTCCGCCGCTGCTGCCACCACCACCACCACCACCCCCGCCACTAGTCCCGCCGCCACCCCCACTCCCTCCGCCGCCACCGCCGCCACCGCCACCGCCCCCTCCAGCTCCACCCGCGCCCTTGCCCCCCTTGCCCTTGCTGGAGCGACGTCTCCCACTAGGGGCAGACGCCGCGCCGACCGACTCAAGACCAAGCAGGTCGGCAGCAGCAGCAGAGGCAACAGAGGGCAGCAAGGGGGAAGGAGAGCACCCCTCAAAGATGGGGGTGCGAGGGTCACCACGAGAAGCACCTACAGCGACGATGCTCTTCTCCGCTGCGAGGAGGGCCTTCTCGAGGAGGTCGACGGTGAGGGTGGTGGGACAGACTGCGAGAAAGTGGTCCCTGACGACTCGAAGGGAGTCAGGGAGGCGCGCGACTACGTAGTAGAGAGCGATGTACATGGGGGGGGGGTTCTTAGCGCAGAACTCAGCAGGAAGGGCGGCGCGGTAGCGAGTGTCACTAGTGCGGAGGTGCGTAATGAGGTCAGCGACAGTGGGAAAGGCAGAGAGGTCAGGAAAGAGGTAGGGAAGCATGAGACGGCTCAGTGCAGCAGTGGCAGGGGAGGAGTAGCGCGCAACTACAGCGTCGTACAAGGTCTGAGCACTCTTGTACTGACTAAAGTGCGCACGCTCAGAGGTAGGGAGGTGGCAACGCACAGCAAGACGTGCAGCAGCATCGCGGGTGGCCCACTTAGAGCGGACAGCGGGATCAGCATCAGCAGCAGGAGCAGGAGAGGCGCCAGAGGTGAGATCAAAGAGAGAAAGGTCGTCAGCCCTGTCGCACTGTAAGAACAGCTGCAGGTCGTCTAACCAGACCTCAAAATCAATGGCGCGACCCTCAGCGTCAAAAGCTAGGACACTAGGGGTAGCCATGGCGACGACAGCGACGCAGTGCAAGCAGCGAGCAAAGAGCTCGCAGTGTCAGTGGGACTGTGCTCACCAGGCAGGGCAGGTCGTGTAGGTATGCAGAAAGGCGGCTCGAGTGCTGGGCGGCTCGGCTGCTGGGCGGCTCGGGCGCAGGGCGGCTCGGCTCCCGGGCTGCTCGGCGGCTGGGCGGCTCGGGTGCAGGGCGGCTCGGCTCCCGGGCGGCTCGGCGGCAGGGCGGCTCGGGTCCCGGGCGGCTCGGCGTCGGGCGGCTCGGCTCACGGGCGGTTCGGCTGCTGAGGCGGCTCGGCCAGGAGATGCAGGGGCGGGGCCGTCAGGTGCAGCGGCGGGTTGACCGGTGCAGTGGCGGGCCGGCAGGTGCAGCGGCGGGCCGGCAGGTGCAGTGGCGGGCCGGCAGGTGCAGCGGCGGGCCGGCAGGTGCAGGCGGCGGGCCGTAGGGTGCAGTGGCGGGCCGTAGGTGCAGCAGCGAGGCCGGCAGGTGCAGCGGCGAGGCCGTCAGAAGCGGCAGGCCGCTGGGTGCAGCGGCGGGCCGGCAGGTGCAGTGGCGGGCCGGCAGGTGCAGCGGCGGGCCGTAGGGTGCAGTGGCGGGCCGGCAGGTGCAGCGGCGGGCCGGCAGGTGCAGTGGCGGGCCGGCAGGAGAGGCGGCGGAGCCGCGTCAGGGGAGGCGGCAGGGCCGCGTCAGGGGAGGCGGCGGAGCCGCGTCAGGGGAGGCGGCGGTGCCGCGTCAGGGGAGGCGGGGGAGCCGCGTCAGGGGAGGCGGCAGGGCCGCGTCAGGGGAGGCGGCGGGGCCGCGTCAGACAGGCGGCGGGGCCGCGTCAGGAGAGGCGGCGGAGCCGCGTCAGGGGAGGCGGCGGGGCCGCGTCAGGGGAGGCGGCGGGGCCGCGTCAAACAGGCGGCGGGGCCGCGATGAGGAGAGGTGGCGGGGCCGCGTCTGAGGGACAGCGGGGCCGCGAGGGAAAAGGCGACCCGAGGGGGGGTCGCTAAAAAAAAAAGGGCGCGCCTCGGGGCGCGCTTCGGTGGGCCCTAAAAAAACGGTCCTAAGGTAGGACCCGCTCTATACCATGTGAAGTAAAGAAAACAGGAATGAAATGACTAAGGAAAGATTGGGTACAAATACAACCCTAGAAACCCTGTACCCCATATGTGCTACCCCACTATAGCCTACAGCAACTCTGTCATATAAATCTGACAGTTTTGCACGATACAGTTGCGGACATTTGGGTTGTGTTCATTGGGCGCGACGTTTCTATCGATTCGATGTCACGTCAGCAAAACAGTCTCGATAAAATGTCAGTCGGGAAAATTGTTTTAGTGAGTACAGTACTCTTGAGATATCGTGGAAGTCCACGTAATGAGAAAAAATACACTGTGCTCTTAGCGGAAATGACGATACACATTAAATATTGATAAAAGATGGTAGGGCGGCGTGTAGCAAAATATATAAAAGTTATATACATATAGTAAGGCGAATAAAACGTATTTACGCTCCTTTTATAGAATTGTCTGTTAAAAGCTATTAATTTATTAGGGTTTAAGGTTCTATACCAGCAGAATATTAATGATAATAAAAAAGTCAAATACATTCTATTGATGAAATTACGCCTACAATAAATAAAAACGCCACATCTAGAACAGCTCCTTCTGCGGCTCGTTTGCGTTGTGAAGCCTGCGATAAGCAGCCCTGGAGGTGAGGTCATCTCGGGTCAAATCCCCGAGCTCATCTGCTTCCAGCTCAGCTTCAGGGATCTCCTTCCATCCAACGATGCAGATGCTGCCAATGCCGACACAGTCGACATCCCGTTCAACGGGCCCCTCGTTGATCCACCTCTGCACCACCCGTGCCTGCCTGGAGAAGGCTGACGGGTCCCCTGATCGCTTAAACTGGGCCTTGCCATGGGGATAACAAAGCTTGAAACGCACCTGAAACAAGGGAAACAAAAACCACAGTAAGCGAAACGTTAAACACAAAGACAAATTCCACAGTAAGCGAAACGTTTGACTTACCGCTGCAAGGATAACCGGCAGCTGATCAGGAAACAACGCAATGGGAAGGGCGCCATCGAATTCCGGGTCCCAAAGGGACGCACACTTAACAAACGCTGGGCTAGAAAAGGGTGATCCCTCCCACAAATGCCAATAAATTCCCATCATCACTGCCATAAGAGAAAGCATCAGCTAAAAGCAAGGCTCAACGGAGTACTGGAAAAACTGGATTTCAGAATCAAAGAGAAACTTACTGTCGGATTGGTTCTTCACGAAGTCCGCGCACACCTTCGCGAAGTCATCAATCTCGGAGAAAGTTAGCTCGCCCTTCAGGGTTCGCTTCTCCCTCATGAAGACACACGGATCTCGGCTCAAGGCGTAAACGCAGCAGAGGCGGTAGATCTTCCCGATGCGATCGTTAAAACGTTCCATAGCATCCTTCAGCTTGCCCTGCGACTTGGCAATCGCTGCCACCTGCATCCCTTCGGCCGATTCGGGGGTGTAGCCTGCGTGCCCTGCACACGACGTAAACTGTGATGATTAGTACACTAATCGTCATGAAGGGAAAATTGACAACGCTTAACAAGCTTACTGATCAATGCATTTAGCATGTCAGCAGAATCAGGATTGAGGTTGAGAAACGCTTTCTTGAACAGGAATTCATCACAGGCGTCCTTCGTGTACTTCTGCAAGACGATGACAGAGAGTCAGGACGAATGAAACTGGGTTACGATGGTCAATGAAATGCAAACTCGTACCTTCCAGTCGAGAGTCGACTGGTCCACTTGCGTAGTCTTCTTAGCAAGGTGCGTTATAAGCACCAGCGCGCTTTTTAGGTCATCGGCGAGGCGACCATTCTCTTTCTGATAAACTCCGGCGATCGCCTTATGAGCTTCTGCCTTAGTTCGAAGCTCCTCATTCACATCAGGTTCGGCGCGCGCTTCCTCGTCGAAGCGAGCGGCATCAGTTGCATACGCACGCCCCGTCGCCCGGGTCATAAGCAACTCCATTGGGCTGCGGTTGGGGTTTCCTGTTGTGGGGGGAAATTTTACAAAGCGGAACGTTTGATATGAATTCAACAGGTTGAAAGCAGGTTGTTGCCGGCAACTTTTGAGACACCACTTCGAGAAAGGTATAGCAGACATACCTTCAACAGCAGCAGGTGTCCCGGCGGGAACAACAGCATCGGGAGCCACATCAGCAGGAGGGGAACCACCGTCAGGAATAGCAGAACGGGAAGGTCCGGCAGCAGCTGCGGCAGGGGAAGATCCGGCAGCAGCGGCAGCAGGGGAAGACCCGGCTGCAGCGACAGCAGGGGAAGATCCACCAGCAGCGGCAGCAGCAGGGAAGGGACCACTTGCAGCAGCATCGAGGGGACCACCGCCAGCCACGGACTTCACTCCAGCTGCCGGTGCAGGGACGGTTTTCCCAGCGACGTCAGCTTTGTTGACGTCATCGAGGCTGCGCCTTGGATGTTTGGTCCGTTGGCCGGTGCGAGGGCGGCCCTGCGCTTGCTCGTCGGACGATTCATCGTGGCTTTCATCTGCGAGAAACAATGAACGGTGGTTAGTCGTGTTCGACTTCATTGGTGCAAGCAAAAAAAAAAAAAAACAACGCAATACAAACCAGCGTGCAAATACCTGCGGTAGCAGCGGCACCAATGTACTTGTGATTGTCCTTGCTCTTCCGTGCCGGGGGCTTTCTAGTCTGCAGGCCGCGCAAAGATTCAGGGACAAGGTCTCGAGCATCACCGCGTGCCATGACTAAACGGGTTATTAAACAAACTAACCGAGTTCCAGCGAATAGCCAGCAAGATGCACACACAGCTATTTATATGAAGTCGTCCATGTGACAAAAAAGCGGGTTAAATCGTAGGCGAATGGACTACTAAACGAGGGTTCGCGAAACACACCATGATTGGCTGTCACCGAATCATTACCAGACGTGGGACCAAAGTCGCCTCGCATGGAGGCTCGGCACGGGTCGCGGGATGAGCGAATGAGAATGAAGTCGAGCCTCGAGCAAGGTTAAAACAAAGTTTGAAATTTCCAACTTTGAATTCCTAAACTGAGACACGCGGACAGAGCAGTTGCCTCTTTCCCCTGCCAACGAGGAAGGGAAACGGGGGAGAGAAGGGGATGGGGTGGGGTTTCAGAGAATGTGAGTTGCTGCTCGTGGGATGAAGTGGGTAATGCCTTCAGGTGCGCTGGCGTTCGCGTTCATGAACAGCAACAAATCTGGTTTAGGGTGGCGGTCCTTATGCACCAGCACACACGTTTGTCCTTTCTCCGCGCGTGATATCACCACCACATGCCAGAGTTGGGCAACGTGAATAGCTTTTCCTGGGTGGCACGCAATGTGATGGCACGCATTACAGTAGGCTTTTTTTTTGGCTGAATATTGTAACGCTGGAACCTACAGAACACGTTTGTGGCTGGCGAGACGATGTCATGTGCGGCGAAACAGCCCCACAATTTCCCTGTGTACATCTTTTGCCACCCAAGTATCATGTAGGTGTGCAACTGGTCAGCGAAGTCGACAACTACGTCAATATTTTGGGCAGCAAATATTCACCTGGTCACTAATCGGTTTAAAACGCTAGCACCATCGCCCCATCTCGTTACCAATGTACTTACGAAAAGGGCAAAAGTAAATGCGTGGTTTTTTCGGGATGGGGTGGGGGAGGGGATGGGGTGGGGAGGGGGGGTGGGGGGTGGGGGTTGTTCACTTACAGCTCAGGAACACAAAGTCGGCGCAGGACTAGTAAACGTCACGCGAGCATGTACAGCCTATTCTGACTTTGCATTTTTGGAGGAAACATCCGCCCAACGCGAGTCAACGTGTTGCGAAAATCGACAAACGACACCATGGGCGAGTGTGTCAGAACATATCTATAGCTTATACTGCTGTGTAGGCTGTAGTGGGGTATCCCATAGGGGGTACAACCCAGTTAGGGTTTCATATTTGTATTGCTTTCATTCATAGTTCATTCATTCCTGCTTACTCATTTTCACATGGTATAGAGCTAGGTCCCTCCAGGACCGAAATTTTTTTTTTGGGCCCACCGAAGCGCGCCCCCGAGGCGCGAATTTTTTTTAGCGACCCCTCGAGTCGCCCTCTCCCCTGCGGCCTCGCCGCCCACTCTGTCGCGGCCCCGCCCTGCTCCTTACGCGGCCCCGCCCTGCTCCTTACGCGGCCCCGCCCTGCTCCTTACGCGGCCACGCCGCCAGCTCCTACGCGGCCCCGCGCCGGCCCCGACGCGGCCACGCCGCCGGCTCCTACGCGGCCCCGCGCCGACCCTCACGCGGCCCCGCAGCTGGCTCCTACTCGGCCCCGCAGCCGGCCCCTTAAGCGGCCCCACCGCCGGCCTCCTACTCGGCCCTGCCCCGGCTCCTATCACGGCCCCGCCCCGGCTCCTTCGCGGCCCTGCCCCGGCTCCTACGCGGCCCTACCGCCGGCCCTGACGTGGCCCCGCCCCGTCTCACTTCTACGCGACCCGAGCCGCCTGTCGCCGAGCAGCCCGGGACCCGAGCCGCCCTGCAGCCGAGCCGCCCGGGAGCCGAGCCGCCCTGCACCCGAGCCGCCCTGGAGCCGAGCCGCCCTGCAGCCGAGCCGCCCTGCCGCCGAGCCGCCCGGGAGCCGATCCGCTGTACACCCGAGCCGCCCGGTCGCCGTTCTGCTTTTCTGTCGAGCTGCGCGACCTGCCCTGCCTGGTGAGCACAGTCCCACTGTCACTGCGTGCTCTCCCCCCTACTGCTTGCACTGCTTCACAGTCGTCGTCATGGCTACCCCTAGTGTCCTAGCTTTTGACGCTGAGGGTCGCGCCATTGATTTTGAGGTCTGGCTAGACGACCTGCAGCTGTTCTTACAGTGCGACAGGGCTGATGACCTTTCTCTCTTTGACCTCACCTCTGGCGCCTCTCCTGCTCCTACTGCTGATGCTGATCCCGCTGTCCGCTCTAAGTGGGCCACCCGCGATGCTGCTGCACGTCTTGCTGTGCGTCGCCACCTCCCTACCTCTGAGCGTGCGCACTTTAGTCAGTACAAGAGTGCTTAGACCTTGTACGACGCTGTAGTTGCGCGCTACTCCTCCCCTGCCACTGCTGCACTGAGCCGTCTCATGCTTCCCTACCTCTTTCCTGACCTCTCTGCCTTTCCCACTGTCGCTGACCTCATTACGCACCTCCGCACTAGTGACACTCGCTACCGCGCCGCCCTTCCTGCTGAGTTCTGCGCTAGGAACCCCCCTCCCATGTACATCGCTCTCTACTACGTAGTCGCGCGCCTCCCTGACTCCCTTCGCGTCGTCAGGGACCACTTTCTCGCAGTCTGTCCCACCACTCTCACCGTCGACCTCCTCGAGAAGGCCCTCCTTGCAGCGGAGAAGAGCATAGTCGCTGTAGGTGCTTCTCGTGGTGACCCTCGCACCCCCATCTTTGAGGGGTGCTCTCCTTCCCCCTTGCTGCCCTCTGTTGCCTCTGCTGCTGCTGCCGACCTGCTTGGTCTTGAGTCGGTCGGCGCGGCGTCTGCCCCTAGTGGGAGACGTCGCTCCAGCAGGGGCAAGGGAGGCAAGGGCGCGGGTGGAGCTGGGGGGGGCGGTGGCGGTGGCGGCGGTGGCGGCGGAGGGAGTGGGGGTGGCGGCGGGACTAGTGGCGGGGGTGGTGGTGGTGGTGGTGGCAGCAGCGGCGGCGACGGTGGTGGTGGTGCCAGCGGTGGTGGTGGAGGCAGCGGCGGAGGTGGAGGCGGCGGAGGTGGAGGCAGTGGAGGCGGCAGCGGCGGAGGCAGTAGTGGTGGAGGAGGCGGAGCTGGTCGGGGTGGTACCCAGCAGCGTAGCGGCGGTGGTGGTGGCCAGCGCTCGCACCGGCAGCAGCAGCAGCGCTCACGGGACATCCCTTCGCCTCAGCAGCTTCGTGAGTGGTACGCTGGGCGTCAGAGGGGTGGGGGTACTGGTCCCTGCACCTACGTTCTTCGTTCCGGTGACCGCGCGGGTGAGCAGTGTGGGGGTGCCCACGCCACCCAGCGCTGCTTTGGCCGCCTGACGGACGCTTGGCGTCAGCAGTTCCCTGGGGCTAGTGAGATCCCTCGCTGGGATGAGCTTCTCAGGGCTGGTGTAGCGATCTTTGATCTTGATTTTGATGCTATCCTTACTGCTATGTATGTTGTGGATTATAGTGAGGAGAATGAGGGTTACCGGTGTTTCCAGCCCGACCCGGGCATTGGTACTGCTGCGCTAGGTGCTTGTGAGGCTGCTGCTCTAGGTGCCAGTGCGTCTGCGCTCTCAGGTACTGGTGAGACTGCGTTCTCAGGTACTGAGTCGTCCTCGTCCTCCCTCACTTTCACACTTGACTCCGGAGCTTCTCGCTCCTTCTTTCGAGACCGCACTACCCTTTCGCCGCTCGCCAGGCCGGTTGCGGTCTCCCTTGCTGACCCCTCTGGGGGTCCTGTCCTGTCTCACTTCTCCACTGTCCTCCCGTGTCCGGCTGCCCCTTCGGGCACCCTGTCGGGTCTGTACCTTCCCTCGTTCTCTACGAACTTGGTGAGTGGAGCGGACCTGCAGGATGGGGGTGTTCACCAGTTCACTCCTGCGCGTCAGCGGGTGACCCACTGCACGGAGGCTCGCACAGGCCGACACCTGGCCACGTTCTCGCGTCGGCCGGGGTCGAGTCTCTACACCCTGACCGTTGAGTCTCCTCCTGTCCCTGCGTCTGGTCAGGTGGCTGCGTCGGGTCAGGTACTTGCTGCTGCGTCCCGGTCAGGTCCTGAGTCTGCCCCCTGTTCTTGTCGCCTCCTGTCTCACGAGACTCTCCTGTGGCACCACCGTCTTGGCCACCCCTCCTTGCCCCGTCTTCGGAGCATGGCTTCCCGTGTCCTTGTCTCTGGTCTTCCCCAGTCTCTCCCTCCTCTCCCCTCCGGGCCAGGACCTTCCTGTGTCCCCTGTGTCGAGGGTCGCCTCCGGGCTACTCCTCACTCCTCCCACTTCCCCCCGACAGAGGCTCCCCTGCAGACGCTTCACATGGATGTGTGGGGCCCAGCCCCCGTCCGTGGGCAGGGTTACGAGCGATACTTCCTGTTGGTGGTTGACGACTTCTCGCGTTACACCACAGTCCTCCCCTTGCGCAGCAAGGGTGCGGTCACTGAGGTGCTGATCGACTGGATCCGCGAGGCTCGTCTCCAGCTCAGGAAGAGCTTCGGCTCGGACTTTCCTGTTCTGCGTCTGCACTCTGACAGAGGCGGAGAGTTCTCTTCTCGCCTTCTGCGAGACTACTGTCGTGCACGGGGGATCCGCCAGACCTTCACGCTTCCGAACTCACCACAGCAAAATGGGATTGCTGAGCGCCGCATTGGCATGGTCATGGATGTCGCTCGTACGTCCATGATGCATGCGGCTGCCCCCCATTTTCTGTGGCCGTTTGCGGTGAGGTACGCGGCGCATCAGCTCAACCTTCACCCCCGGGTCTCTCGGCCTGCGATGTCCCCAATCTTGCTGTGGACAGGGAAGGTTGGCGATGCGTCTGTGTTCCGTGTCTGGGGATCTCGGGCGTTTGTCCGCGACTTGTCTGCGGACAAGCTGTCCCCTCGTGCTGCT